ATTTCTAACCTTCTTTATCCACGGTATCCTCATCATTCGCCTGTAACACCACATTTCGAACGCTTCTAACATTTTCATTTCCGCCGCGCCCACTGTCCATGTTTCGCACTCGTACAACGCTGTGCTCCAAACATACTAATGCCTTTAGAAAAATTTCAAAGTTTCTTCTGTGAAGCATTCACCCTGGAAGTGTTGCGTATGTCACCTCGGCTGCTGATTTTATAAAGTCGTCCTTCAGTGAGAAAAAATGCATGGGGGCTGCAGCTATGTAATTTAGGAAATGCGACTTTAGCAAATGAAGCTGTATATTATACTAGGAAATGCAATATTAAAGTAAATACTGCTTTAAAATGTAACACGAAGAGGTATGCATGAATTGCAGGTGGTGAATAGGAAAAACAACTATAAAGTAACGGACACTAAGCATACTACAACATGACGATCTGGTAAATACGCTGTTGTTTCAAATCTCAACTTCGTACGTACAGCCCACGTATTCGTCTGTAGGTGTTGGAAAATCTCCTGAACGACCATCCTTCATGAGTCCTTTATCGAATAAGCTACTGTTCATTCAGTTGCCTCATAGATGACGGATCTATAAGTCAGGAGGAATAGTGGATGTGTCGGTCCCAGAAAGTTTAGTGTTCGTTGACGACACTTCTGAAATTGGTCTCCAGAGTAGCGTCAAATCTTTCAACCATTCCATCAGCCTGTGGATGTAAGAGCGTAGTCCTCGTTTTAGTAATGCCCATTAGTTCAGTGATGTCCTTGAACAAAGCCGATTCGAAGTTCCTGCCTTTGTCGGAATGCAATTCGAATGGTACTCCATATTGGCTAATCGAGTCATTGGCAACGGTGTGTGCTTCCTGTTTCGGTATCGCATATGCATCGGGCTACTTACTTACTAAAGTAATCCATGGCTAACAAAATGTATTAGCTACCGGACTCCGTCACTAGGAATGGTCCTACCACGTCTGCTGCGGTTTTCTCAAATGACGTTCTTGCATCTACAAGTCTTTGTTTGGCTCTTTGGTTCGCTGAACTATGGGTACGTCAGTATTGGAGCTCCAGATAGTGTAATCTTCAGATGATCAAATGCTTTTTGGTATTCGGGTGTCCATTGGAATGAAATTCCATCTTCGGTAACTCTATGTAGTGGTCGGGTTGTATCGGCAAATCTTCGTACGAAACTTTAATAGTAGCAGTAACTATCCTTCGGTATGGGCGAACTTCGTACGGCATCCGTTTTGTCGGAGTATTTCACTTCTCTTCTAATCAAGATGCATTGGGACTTCAACCTTGCGACAATTTCTTGAAGATTTCAGTCATGTTTCGAAGGTGATCGTCGAAAGTTCTTCCTAGTATGATGATGTGGTCTAGGCGAAACAAACAGATCAATACAGTCAAACTTTGAGATGGTTGTATTACCCCTTATTTATACATGTGTTTTATAAGATTATTGACTTAATCTTGCTTCGCCCAAGGAACTCTTCTAGGTGGTTTTTTGATGGGTCTTGCTATTCCAGTGTTGGTGCGGTATTATGTTAAGTTGATCCTATCAAAGTCTTCATCTAACAAGGCGAAGTCATGTTGAAAACGACCAAAAAGGTCTTTCAATTGTGTAATTTGGTGCTTGTTGAAATTGTTACTTGACCATTTTACTAGTTCTGATAAAGTTGCAGGAAATAACGGCAGTTTCGTCTCGGGTTCTTCTTCCCAGTGATAGTTGTAGATTTCAGCTACTGGTTCAAATACACCCAACTTCTGTGCCTCTGCAGATCTTTTGCTCCAAATCTTCAAATTGGCTTTTCCACTAACCGGTATCGGTGACGTTCCACTTCTTACGAGCTTACGTCCTATTAATAATGCATTTTGCGTCAAGTCTTGATTGTCTGGTTCAACTACCCCCACCTATCCGCCGATGTCGTCGTTTATTCTAACTTTTACAATGCTCTCGGAGTGACTCGATAGTACTCGATTTTCCTGTACGATCACCTTGTAGACAGCAAACTTGGTATTAGGATTTGTCATTACTCTCTCTTCTTCACCGGTGCGCATTGTAGAAGTGCTCAGATTTAAGTCGATTCCATGTTCCTGAAGAAGGTGCAATTCAATGATGACATCATCTACTATGTTGGCCACCAATACCCAGCTGTATAATATTGCATTTCCAATTATAATTTCGACATTGTATTCTCCATGGATCGGTGAAGTCTCCTCGGTAGCTATAGTCAAAATCAATCTTCTAGTCATAGGTCGAATTCGTCATTTCGATACCATATCAGGGCAAGTCATAGTGATGGATGCCCCTGTATAGGGGCCCTGTATCAACACTGTGTTGAATTATAGTCTTCTATAAAGAATGAGTTAGCGCCGTCCAGTCTTTTTCGGGGTCTTGGTGAGGGTGAGCCAACTTTCACCCCATAAAGTTGACTAATCTTAGTTTTCCTACTGCCGTGTTTTGTTTGAGTGGCACTCTCAACTTATGTGCCCTATTTTCCGCAATTTCAGCACTTCGGATGACCACTGTAGTTGTTGCAGTTCAGAAGAAAATGACCAGTCTTACTATATTCCCAACATTAAAGGTTCCGTTGTCCCGTATTTCTAGAAGTCGCTTTCTTAACATCTCTGATGCGCGGCATAACACCTTCTTTTGTAAGTATACTATCACACATAGCACACATCCTTCCCTAGATGCGTAAGCTATTTTTTGTCACATACATGCCGGAAGTTCGAACATTCGTGTCTTTTCCGCTCAGCGGACACATTGTCTAGTTTCGGCCCATTGTGAGTTTTCGTTTAGCCGTAAATTAATTATTTCATAATTTGTAAACACTATGAAACAACTTGTATTTTAATTTATGCATACTACACGCAGGATATGTTGCAGTATATAAAGAAAATCTGTTTTTTTTTCTTATTTATTATTTGGTTTGATAAATCCTTAATGAGAATGAAGTTTAGCTTTAATACTGAACAGAAAACAGAATGTAATCTGTAATCACAGCTCAAGTGCCACCCTTTAAATGTTTTAATTTTTAAATAAAATGTTAGTTATGTGGGTATCTTAGGCTAGCAAAACCATTTGGTTTCTGTGTCCACCATATAAAGATGGTAAACATAAATATATTTCAATAATAATAAAAAATATTACCAACAAAATAGCAAAATTACCCGATTTGTCTTCAAATCACAAAATAAATAAAATAATAAATTATGCACAAATTCAAAAAATACAATAAAAACTTCAACTCAAAAGTAATTACTCAAATTCAAAAGGGTGCACTTGCAATGTTGCGCAAGCTCTCAAGTGAACTAAAACGAAAGTACATATTTGATGAATCCTTTGGATGAAATTCCTCGAACCACAGATGTACCGCCAGTTGAATATTGAGAGCGTTTTCCTTTGGCTCGATTGGTAAAATGTATCAAACTCTGAAAATCAAAAAGGTTGAATCATACACCAATAATTGAGTTGGATCGGAAATCATAAACAAGAACGGTTATATCACACATCTATAATTGAGTTGGATCAGTCACTATAAACAAAAGTCCTCATCAACCAAGAGTCGAAATTTCCAAAATTAGCAACTAAGCGTTGACCAGTGGTTATTATTGTCCGCAGTTTTTGGGTCACAATTTCGTAGCCTAGCAAATAAACTCAAGGAAATTTCACAAAATAAGTATTACTAAACAACCTGAAGTAAAAACCACAAAACTTTTGCAAACTGCATTCAGAAAAAAAATTAAAAAAATTGGGTGTTGACCCATAGGTAATGCAAATATATGCGTGATCTTACGAATAGTCCGGAAGACAATGACATCCCCGCACAGTATTGAGAACAGATTCTCCACTGTAATTAGTACAATAGGAGCATTTTAAACGTTATATGGAGTACTAAGGACGCATCAAGCAAAAACTTTCAATTACATTGAGATGCATGAAAATATGTTACACATGTCTTTCCAGGAGGCTAATAGTTTAATTTGTGTTTTTAAATTCGTCACTTGTTTTTTTCGATTGCACCAATGAACACCTTAGTGCTAAAATTTTCCTTTTTTATACCAGTATGCTGTTGCAAATATTAAAATGGAAAATTGCGATCTACGACCATATATCACGGCGACGGGAAATCGCCGTTTGTATCAATTTGCATAGACTTGCATGAATTGAAACAAAGGCACCGACTAATTTGCCGAATGACGACCGTGTGTTTACCGTCGAAATTTTACTTAGACCGGCAGCCGGTCGGCAGAATACCCAGCACCGGTAGGTGTTTTAAATCGTATTTAAACTTATGTGAAATAATTTATTCCGGTTTTTCTGCCGCACGGCGAAAAAGTCAGTCGGCGGATTCGCCGTCCATGTGCATGGGGCTTAAAAAAAGTCTCAAGCCGTGTGTAAAAATCATGAGAAAGTCACATAACTTCCACGTGCTGCATAAAAAATTGTTCGATCTTCCCAGCGGTAACGCGCTTTTCCACAAAGGAAAAACCGTTACAAAGTTTATGTTAATGAGTTATTGCATGCTTACCTTACGTTTAATCGACAAAATTTTAAAGGTTTTATTAAAATTAAAAAATTGTACTAGACAATTTGATATTTAGAGATCGAGACCTAAGTACCTACTCAGAATTTTAATTTTAATATTAAATACAAAAAAAACACAAATTCATTTTTTTTTGTAATCCATAATACCTAATTGCTTAATATTAAAATTAATTTATATTAGTATTATGGGTATTTATTATAACTTTTTTATTTTATTTGTCCTATTCATTTACATTGTATTTAAATTGTGAACTTGAAAGTAAATGAACAACAAAAAGAAAACATTAAGTTAATTTTGTTTCTTTCTAAGGTTATGCACGATCGATGACCCGGTATTTGAACTGCTTCAAACTATAGACTCATTTTACAAAACGAGCACAATATGTTTGAAATACTTAATAGTTTTAATGAACAATACTAATTTTGTTCTTTTTTTATTTTTCAATAGAAAATTGACACTTCAACTTACAAAAAGAGCTGAAAAAGCTGGCTTCAAAGCACTTGTTTTAACTGTAGACGCTCCATATTTTGGAATAAGGTTGGCTGATGTCAGAAATAAATTTACATTACCATCTCATTTAAGGTAAGTGTTAGATATATGTAGAAAAATACAAATGGTTCAGGAGACATTACAAATTCTATACTTCTCTATATTCGATTAGTTAAGACGGGTTTTTCAATATGATCGGTATGCCAAAATGTTAAAGGCTACCCCATACGACTCATCGTCATCGTCACACTAGCAATGTTGAACATTTTTACATCATCAGCAAAGGACAAAATATTTTAAATTTTCATTTTATAATAGGTCGTTATTTAAAACCTCCAGCGTACTATATTACTATGTACAGTTTTCTTACCGACAAATGTCAACACTTTCCCTGCGCTATTATCTATTGAATCGTAGCGATTCTACGGCTCATATTCACACAACAAGGAAGCACTCCATTGGGACTGCAAACACTCCTTGTGACTCGACCAAACCTGCACATGAAGTACAAAATGGATTTAATGTTGAATTTCTGGTATTGAGAATCCGCAGAACAAGCTTACATAATTCTGATTTGGGCATTTTCGTAATTGTAGTCGGCATATGGGGTCAATAGACTGAAATGGGATACATTTCGTTTTCCTTTTGATACATGTCTGATTAGATATATAGCATTGTTAATTCATTTAACGATTTTATTATAAAGATCGATATGCTAATATAAACAAGGGTAGATGACAATCCCGTTCTTGTTAATGATTACGTATCGGCTATTTAGGTGTTTGATGAGCTCTTTTGCTACTATAGTCTCTGTTTGGATGGGAAGGCGGATGCTTCTACCAACTTCGCGAAGTAATCCATTGCTACTACGATGTATTTATATCCATTACAATTTCCCTCGAGTGGGCTGCCATCATTATACTGCCCCATGGAACAGTGTTGCAACTTTTGTGGCCCTTTGCTGGCTACGCAAGTCGTGCACATTTTGCCCCAGTTTATCCTCGTCTTTCTCCAGTACTACTAGTTAACTGATTCTTACTCCACTTATGGTATAGTTGTGCCCACGAACTTTTCTACCAGCTCCTTCACTCTTTCATTCATTTAATTAATTTGAACATGAAGTTCGTCTTCAATTATCAGCCAATATTCGTAGAATGTCCCCAATTTTTCAATTAATTTATTTTCAAAATGTGCCGAATTCTCAATCAATGTATTTTCTCAAACTTTTTCAGTTTCATCTACTTTCAATTTTCTCTCAAACTTCTGTAATGTCCTTGAATTTTCCTAGAATTTTTCTTCAAATGTTCGTCAATTTTCTTTTTATTGTTTTTACAACCCCATTGATTATTCTTATTTAGTTTGTATTCGAAATTCTTATTAAGTTTTTCAAATGTTTTTAATGTTTTTGAATTTTTCTTTAGTATTCTGTAAAGCTTTATTCAAAATTAACTTTTCAGCATAGTCTCTCTCAAACGTGAATGTTCCAAAACCGACACCAGTTTTCCTCAGAGCATTAGCGAGTCTGCTCTGAAGGATAGTTTTATTACTAGTCATATCTTCGTCTCGTTTTTGCAGCTTTACTGTCTTTACTTTAAAATTATTTTCTTAACAGTTATCTTCGACCCCACATCTGTCACCATTTGTAACAAATCTTCTAGCACTTATACTTAATTTATTTTATACAGTAACACTATGTATGTAATGATTTATGATTACAAACGTTTATTTATCTGACACTGTGGAGGCGGTAGACATTTTTAAATCAACATAACAACAATAACTTGCTAAGTACGTAATTATAGGCAAATCGTTCATAAGCCTATCTAAATTCGCCAACAAGTGTAAGGGTTTTATTATTTCTATATGTGTGTAATTAATAGTCGTTCGAAAACTAAACGAACATAAGTGTATATAGTGGTCGGTATGTATATTTCTTTCTACGTTAATTTTTACGGACTTAGTTGGGATAGATTTTACCTAATTTGCCCATGTGTTTATACTTTATGCGGGGTGATCGGCTAAGGGGGATCGACCCTCTTCGAGATGAAGAAACAAACAGGACCTGTTAATGTTACATATGCGTGAAACGTATTAAAGTGCACTTGTGCTACTCTGTGTTTTCCAAAAATTGTGCATATTTTAAGGATATTATAATATTAGTGATTGTTACCTGTGTTACCTGTAAATCAGGGTGAGTTATTCACTGAATACTTCAAGCATTCTTAGTAATTATTTTACTGATTGTTTTAAATGAAGATGCTGTTGATGATTTATGTTGATATTGAAAGTAATTCATGAGATAATTAGGGACGCTACCTAGACTGTTAAGCTGCGGTGACACAGTCGTTATTTGGGGGCTGAGGTTTGAAAGCGCTGCGGTGCAATGGGGACTGTGGGCTGCGGTTGTACAGTTATCTAACCCATTAATGACCTCAATCCAGTTTTGGACAGAAAAGTCTGTCTTGCAGAGGTAATGCGGGAAGAGGGTGTTTGCCCTTTCCCAAGATCAGGTTGATACAGCATCAATAAGTGTCAAGTAGTTGATTACAGTAATTTGGGTGCGGTCAATGTATTTATCTTTAGTTGATTATATTGCAACATGGCCTTGTACAGTAAGATGCACGATAAATGCTAAGGAAAGGTATGCTTGAGTGCTCACACATGTTTTTTTATATTTGATAAAGGTGCCGTAAGGTGATATTGGCAGTGATATAGCTAGCGATCATCTCTGTGATCGTGTTGGCTTTTTTTTAAGTAAGTGATCGTTTGTTTTATTTGTTGTGTATATGATGATTAAGAGATTAGGATGTCTTAAAGCAACGCTTAACCATCTTCCTGACGATACTTTATATCTCAATATTGTCCACGCCCCTGTGATGCTACGTTCTTGATTTACGTAGTTTAAGATATCTATTTGATATTCTGTTCAGAATGCTCTTCGAGAGTATATGTTTTACTTAAGGCCGCTTACACAAGTATGTCAAGATCAAACGTCTTTAATATTTTCGTGAAATTGTGTTACTTGTAAATACCTATACATGCGAAATTTCAGGGTTAATATTGATTGTATCTTGAGTTTTTTCTCAGATTCACATAGCTGTCTCATTAAAATATGGTACTTCCCACCAGAAAATTGATGATATTTGCCGAACCTATGTTTTAAGTCATCAGTTTGAAATTTACCTAATAAAACGTAATTCCTAGAAAATACTACAAATGGCGCAGTAAACGCCATCTGTAGCACGATGCTACATTTTAGGATTACGTATGCTCCAACAAGGTCCACTTGTGTTTATATGTACTTGCTGAAAACGAATCCCGGCGTAGCCAACCTCAACGTGATAAGCACGTTAGCTTAATCGAATAAAATAATTCGAAGTGGTCTGTATTCTGTCGAAACTGCCAGACGCCTCACTTCGAATTATTTTAAAACGTAATTCATTTTTAACTCGTTAAAACTCGAAATCTCCAGTAATCCACTCACGGTATGGCAGAAATCTGTATGAGTTTAAGAAGTTAATTTATTTTCGATAGAGTGCGACTTTCATGCGTCTAACCAATCAAGCAATTTAGTTCAAAATGTAATTTTGATGTCAGTAGCAAATTTTTTTGCCGTAATGGGCTCTTCATATTCATCATTTAAACGTTTGCCTTTTAGAGGATGCTTTACATTGACAATTTTCCACCAAGTTAAGATTATTTAGATAAAATCAGCAATGTCTTTAGGATGATCAATATTATATCCGAATTTAAACAAATAACCAAATTTCAATTATGTTCTAAAGTATGAAGATACAGTAAGCATTTAAATGAAGCTTTTCTTTCAGTACCTGTCTCAAAATCGGGAAAATGCACCATTTCATGTGGACGCGCGACGACCAATTTTGATATTTCCACTGAAAATGGATTTTTTTTTCGTTAAAAAGGTTTGCACTTTTAATTCGGAGTTTATTATAACGGAATAAGTAATAAAAGGTTCAGGCGAGTACAGTTCATTTCAAATAGTTAGAGATGAGAAATCTGCGCGAAATAGAAAGAATATCACTAGGCGTGAGCAAGACAGAAATAGTTGGAACAAGCTTGAACGGGCAGAGCTCTCGATGAGCGGTCTTAGGAGATCGACTAGAACTATACAGTACTAGATGAAAATGTTTAGCAATTTGTTAAAACAAAAATGTTGTATATAAATTAACAATAGAAAACAAAGCAAAAGTTTTATAGGTGTGTAGAGTGTTAAGTTAATTAACTTGTTATTATTTTTATCAAAATATGCTTTTAAATAAGGCATATTTTTAAAGTTTAACGAGGCTGTTTAAATAATCATTGCTCTTCATAACAGCATTAAACTTTGTCAGTACGTATATTGTACATATAGAAAATATTTTAATTACTTTTTAATAATGTACTGTTTTATTATTAGCGTTTACTGTCTATATGAAACAATCCAAATTTAATTTTGNGTACATTACTTTTTAATAATGTACTGTTTTATTATTAGCGTTTACTGTCTATATGAAACAATCCAAATTTAATTTTGTAAGCATAATATAGAGTAATTATCGAAAATTTATAGCTCGGTGTCAGTTTGATTTTGAAAAAGAATTGTTGGCCATGAAAAGGGCCGTTTTAAGAAACATAATTATTCAGTATTGTCACGCTCAATTTAGAAACGGTGTCTCCACCACTATGTCACATCGGTAATTTGTTAATTATTTATTTTAATTACCTGATTTTAATGCATTTTAATTATTTTAGCGTGACTGGGGTAACGTATTAAAATGATAAAATAGGCAAGTTTGAAAACAATAATAACTTTATTATATAAAATAATTTAGAGAATTTGAGTAAAAAAACATTTACAAAAAGGATCTTCCTCCCAACGTAGATCAACACACCAAAAGAGTTAAGTTTGGTCTAGTTACATTTTTAGGAGCGCCGCAATCATCATCGCCCAGGAGGTAGTGTCACCAACACTCAGAGTTTGCCACCTGTTACTCTTTTAAGGGTAGACTTTTTCCCTTCGCGTTCCCTAGTCGTCTGCTTGCGATCCCCGTTCACGCGCTAAACTTTTTTGATGAACCAGTGATTACTTCCACATAGTTTAACATGGGTCATTCGCTGGTTCTAGAAGTTTCTCTGGTTTAGCTGATATAACGAAAAAACCGATGAAGTCCTTTTTGGTGACTTCGTGAAGTTTAATAATTTTCCCAATAACCAGAGCGATCGAACTGGCGTCAAATTCTGCTTGTAAATAGATAATTCTTTTCACTTACTGCTTCGTTGCTGCGAAATGCCAAACACGCTTATTTTGCAAGTAAATAAACTCGATACCTTTTTTTATGAATTTGAAAAGAATAACAACGCTATAATTATGAAATATTTAATTAATTTTGAAATATGTTTTAAGATCAAAAATAGTTTTTGAATTTCCTTAAAACTTCACTGCGTGACAGTATATTCCAAAGTCTTCATCGTTTGAGTCAGAAAATTCGTCGTCGACTCCTACTTTAATAACCAAGTCTTCAACGACCCTGGATCTTCTAATGTGTATGCATCATCTTGCTTAATAATATTGTTGAACACACTTTCCCATTATTCAATAGGAAAACTACCGAAAAATTCTTCATAAAGTTATTTCACATCACCCAAGTACATTCCATTCGGTAACAAAATGTTTTAGAGTTGCCCAAACATATTCAATTGGATTTAATTCTGAATGATATGTCGGTAATCGACAAACATCATGACCAGCTCCTTGTATTATTTCGTCGATGTCGTAGATTTTGAACTTCGGCTTATGCAGTTTAATAATTTGGTACAATTCTACTTACTACTGTCTTCGAAATCTAAATATCCTTTTCGTAGCCAATTCTGCATCTCTGTTTTTAACGAGGTCGAATTAGGGCATTTTTCTTTTTGAACGTAATGATGTGGGGCATTGTCAATAACTACAACTGACTTTGCAGGCAAATTAGGAAGAAGTTTATTTTGTACCCACCTTCTGTAGTTATTGTAGTTCATGTCATCATGATAATGGCCTGTTTTTAGACCCGACTTGAAAATGAGACCAGCGTTTTCTATAAAGCCATCTTGCCACCAGGATGAATAATAATTAGTCAGCTCCCTTCTGCTAGTGGTTGCAGAAAGCCTTCTGAAGAACCATCATTTCTTGATTTTTTGAAACCACAATTTGAATGTATATTTCATCCATATAAATAATTGGTCTCCCTGCCTGATTAAAAGCTCCTATTTGTAAAGGTGACACGCAAATGTCGAATCTCTGCTTTTTCCACTAATAATTTACGGTTAATACACACAGAAAAACATTTCGCAAAATGCAAACTGTTTAGATATGCGTAATATGGTGTAATAATAGTTCACCAATTAAGCAACAAGTGCATTTCTTATGTATGTATGCATGATAAGCAAAATTGGTCGTCTAGCGTCCACATGTGCTGATGTCACATGCTAGTTCTATGCAGCTGTTTGGCCTTATTGGTCACAAAGGTAACGACCCAGCATACTCAATAACAGAAGATCGAGGAAGCGATAATGAGTCTGATATAGTAGTGAAATAGAAACTAATTATAGATAGTAGTGTTAATTAGAGGGTAAAAATTAAATACAGTAAATTAGTGAGTAGTTAGAAAGGTGTTTTATTGCGCGACATTTGGTGGCATTGAAGAAGATTGAGGAAGGAAGAGGATTTTGAAGGATTCGATCAAATATTCCAGCACGTTCCATTGGCCGTTTTTTTGGAAGTTTCTACCGATTACGAATAGCCCCAGGAAACTTTACATTGTCGGAAAGCTCTCAAAGAAAGAAAAATGAAATTTCCATCGACTATGAGAAAATGTAGTAATTCATGTAATATCATTGGAAAGCTCTTAAAGTACCGCCGAATTTTCTGGAAGCTTCCATGGATCGTTAGTAAATAATCCAAAACGTCGTATGTCATTGAAAAGCCCTCGACGCAAAAAGAAAGGTTCTGACGACATCGAAAAGTTCCACCGAATTTTCAGGATGTTTCGGCTGCGAGTAACCTCAATAAGGAATACATCATTGAAATGTAGGATTTTGCTAAAATCAAAGAACTTCATAGAACGTTATACAAGAAATCGAGATATTTCATGTCTGTTACAACCAGAGGTACTGAAGCAAAAATGGAGGACCGAATAAAGGCTTTAACGGCAATGATAGCAGAAATGAAAGGAGATATGAAAACTAGACAAAAAGAAATGAAACAAAAAACGTAGAGGTACAAGAAGAAACAAAAAGAAGACAGAAAGGAGAAAGTCTGGAGTGATCCCCAAACTGAACACGGCAGTCGAACAACTAGATCAGCCAACTTTAAGGGGCGCAAGGCGGCTCACCTTCACAAAATCCTCGAAGAAGTCATCATTTCAAGACTGGAACGTAACTAACTCATTATTCATAGAAGGATTGATAAATCAAGTGTTGAAATGGTCATTAAACATCCAACACCATCACTGACCTAGTGTTACATTGGAATAGCGAATTCAACCTTCAGTAAGAAGACTGATCTTGATTAGTAGATAATGTCATCATTTGATTCGACCTTCTTCAAGAGGATGGAATCGACTTAAATCTTAGCACTTCAACAATGCTCATCAATAGTAGTAGTAATGTCAAATCCCAAGATGAAGCATGCCGCCTAGAGGAAGATCAAGTACCACCAAGTCACTCCGAGAGTATTGTAAGAGTTATAACAGACAACAACATCAGCGGATTGGTAGGAGTAATCGAAACTGACAGTCGAGACACTATACAGAAACCGTTATTAGTGGGACAGGCGCTTGTAAGATATGGAACATCATCGATGCTTGTTAGAACAGCCAATGTAAATAAAAAGATCTGACACGAAACCGACATCTCTTCCAGCAACTTTAAGAAAACTGGCAAATTAGTAAAGACTTTCACGGCCAGTGTGTGATGTTTAGTGAAACAGATTTAATACTAGTGGTGTTAATTAGAGCATAAATAATTAAATAAATTAGTGACTAGTTAGAAAAGTGTTTAATTACGCGACAATATTTATCTTGTTAAAGCATTTAAGTTGGAACACTTTATACCTTTTAATATATTTTACCTCAATGGGAGAAACTATTCGTTTTACTTTTAGATTAGCTAATTTTACAGAAGAATTGGCTACTTCAGTGACAAGTACTACTGAAGGATATTCTGCTTCTGGTATAAATGATTATGTCAATCGATTATTTGATGCGTCATTAGAATGGCATGACATAGAATGGCTGAAAAGCGTCACTACCTTACCAATTGTTTTGAAAGGAATACTAACGCCTGAAGATGCAATAATAGGAGCTGATCTAGGGGTTTCAGGGATTTGGGTTTCTAATCATGGGGCACGGCAAGTTGATACCACGCCTGCTTCGGTAAGAATTAGAATATTACGATTTGTTCTATTGTTGCTGAATTAGTTATAAAAATCTACAATAACAATTAAATGAATATCATCGGTCCAGAGTGATGTTTGCAAATTTTGTCTTTAGCTTACAGTCAATGAGTTACTCTGTTCTGTTATTTATTTTTTTGCAATGCTCTATATAGCTTCCCGATGAAAAAGGTTTGAATCCAACGATATATAATTGGATCCAAACAAATTTTGTCGCGATCCAATATTAATTTACGTTATTATTTATTTATTTAATAGATCTACGAAAAAAATTAAAAAAAGGAGTTTTGGAGACGGTTTTCCGAGTATACACTTACAACCGCGGTCATCCACCCATCTTATGTACTAACTCGCCTTTGCTTATGTTCGTTAATCCGGTGTTCATCGAAGTTCCTGGCTGCTGCAATGATATTACACTCGACGTCTGTATTACAAAGTACTTAACGGGAAGTATTACAAAGAATTTTTTGATGTCGACAAAAATAATGTGGTAATTATCTAGTTTAGCAGCCACACCTCCGATGATCTTGAATTTTTAATATGTTATAGAGGTGATTATGCTGATCATTTTCATATACCTACATATGTTGGACGCGGAAATTATAATGATGCATAGTTTTAAAACGTTGAAAAACAATATGTGGTGGCCTATGACATATAAAGTAGGAAATAATACTGCAGGTCGTTTAAAAATATATATGCATTGGTGACGTCATTGTTTGTAGATTAACAACAGACTGGAGTTTCTTTAATACCCCTGCCCACCGGAATCATATTAGAATAATGACTTCGAATAGTATGCTTCATTATGCATTCCGCGCCCAACATATTTATATGGAAATCAGCATTATCATCTCTACAACATACTAAAAATTCAAGGTCATAGTGTTTGCTGAAACAAAGACAATTTCGCGACATTGTTCCAACATATCAGCCCGCCCTCGGCAGGGAGAAACTCCAGTCGGTCATAAATCTACCTAACCGAACAATGACGTCACCAATGCATATACATCTCCAAACAGCCTGCCGTATTTTTACCTACTTCATATATCATAGACCACCACATATTGTTTTTCAAACAAAATTACTATCATTATTATCCAACGGTCTTCTCAGTTTTCACTGGTTAACTTTGAGCAAGTGAAGACGGGCTAATGCCAAAGAACCCCACTCACATCTTTTTGGATACGTTATCATGGAAACCAATTTGCTTATTTTATTATTGTTTTCCGGTCTTCTCAGTTTTCACTGATTAACTTTGAGCAAGTGAAGACGACCTGATGCCAAAGAACCTCAGTCACATATTCCCATCTATCCATACGATATGGAAACCAATTTACTGTTCTTAAATTTTTATAAAACTAATTTATTGTTATTATTATTTTCAGATCCTCTCATGCATTTGTCTTATAATCAGTGGAGGATTTACTTATTTACCGCCTATAGATTATTTAAATTTTGCCGTCCCTACTGACTCTACCCCTCTACTATTCGATACCCTAGCTCACAATCATATTAATTAAAATAATCACATTTATGCTCGAATATGTGTGTGTATGTATCCATATGCTTGGGTATTCGTATATCTAGTTAGATGTAGGTACTTCTCTATATAGCTCTATACATTTTATATATAATTGTATTTGAGCAGATATGACTAGATAAGCTTCGATATGTGTATATATTATTAGTTATAAAAGTTTAAACAGTAGGATCAAAAACTCACATTTGGATATATTCGGAAATAAACAGGTACAACTAGACCCACTCATATACCGTTTGACCCAAACCTTTTTCATCGGGTTGTTGTTTCGTTCTGCATCATTTTAAAACATCATTTTTTCTAATATTTGATTATTCATCGTAATTACCATAAGGTCTTCAGCTCGAAACAGGTTGGATACGCACTTCCACTTCTTTGTACTTTGCACCAATCTCTTCATTTTGCGAAAACTTATAAACCGAATATCATAATTGCTAAGTTTTTGAAATTCAAGTGTTTGAAGTACTTATTGAAATACTTTTTTGGTATTTAAATACAAATAATATATGAATTCATTGAAGTCACTAATGACTTCAATGAATTTAGCATTTGGATTGAAATACTTAAATGATTGTTACTTTATTTGATAACTGGAGCTGTTTTCAAATACCAGGTATAGCATCATAGTAAGATTAGTTGCACCCTTTCAAAATAAGACTAATGGGTACCATAATGGTGCATTATATTTTAATCAAGGCGAGATTCTGCCTTCGAGCATCCACAGCAACTTCCCTTTCAAAAAATAAAGGTGTTAGGAAATGCATAACAATAACGTAAATAAGTCGATAATAATACATAAATAGAAAGAATTGTCCATAAAATGCAATTTGCTCAGTCATTTCTGCTGGTTTTATAAGTTACTAACGCTTAAGTATGAAGTCCTACAAATGTCGTGGTAAACGCCATCTATAGTACAATGCTACATTTAGTGGAATTCAATATTTTCAACAAGGTCCATTTAAATAGATGGATATCTACTTGCTGAACTGAATCCACGGCGTAGCTCACCGCTACGTAATAGGCACGTTACCAAAATCGAACAAAGAAATTCGAAGTGGTCAGTATTCTGTCAACTGCCAGACGCGGATCCCGATTTCGATCTTACTGGATCTCATCAGCGCATCGGTTTTGTAGGATTTCATAAAACGCGCTGTATTAAGGCAGCAGGTAGAGTTGGTCTGTGTTCTGTCGAAACTGTCTGCAACGCGCTGATGAGATCCAATAAGATAGAAATTGCGATCCGCGTCTAGCAGATTGATAATGACAGTGTCTGTGAAGATAAAAAAAATATTGAGTTGGACGATTTGCATATGAATTTTAATAACGAACTTTATTCTATTGATATAATGGCCCACGAAGAAACCAAAAAGAAGTTGATAGTGATGACACATACTAGACATACTACTTTGTAAGTGCGCGCATAAAAATGACAACGTTATTAACATCCCCTATTACTAACGGGACAACTTCGGAATGCTTCAATTTATTGAAAAACAAAGGTTTCTCCAAATTAGAAATACTTAAATTTCAAAGTAAGCTAAAAGATTGGTTGCCTTTTTGGAATTTAATAAGACCCATGTAGATGAAGGTATTCTGAAGGAAGACATGCTTCGAAGGCTGATCCAGGCTACAACTCCAGGTGCAAAAGCCAGGGATATAGTGCAGTCATACGCCTACTGCGAAAAACTACGATACTACCATGTATTATATCGAATGTCTTATCTAATGAACATCGCAGTAAAAATATTACTTTAACCGATACAGCTATAGCTAATGTTAATTGGAGCTGATCTAGTATACGTTTAGTTGACTGGCGAAAAAAGTTGTCAAATCGTCTTAATGCTTTAAATACGCGTTTAGGTTGGTCGTTAATAGTGGTCAGTATCATGTCGAAACCGCCTGACGTGGATCGCGATTTCTATATTTCCGGGTCCCATCAGCGACTCGGAGATAATTCCGGCAGAAAACAAACCAACCCTACCTACTTCCTTTAGATAGCGTTTTATGAATTACTAGTGCAATGAACGTCACCTGTAGAATACTGCTAAATATTGTGGAACTTAAACATGATCGACAGTGCCCATAAAGATATCAACTTGCCAAACTGAATCCGGTCGTTTTATGTAGATAGTGTGTTACGTTTTTCATTTGTAAATTTAATGAGAGTTAACTATTTGTTACCATTCCGAAAATTTCGTAAATCTTTTTAAAGTTTATGTTGTCACGTTATATGAAGATACTTTTATTAAATCCGCTTTTTTAATCGTTTCTCTTTGTTGACTTGAGAATATTAAAAGCAATAATACGATTTTCGTTAGACTTTCCCTCATTTAATTCCGACACGATATTTATTAAATCCCTACCATCCTCCAAGAAACAGTACAGTGTTGCAAATCACTAACCGTTTTATACAGTTGAGTACCTCCCATTATAATTTAACTGCGCTTTGATGTTTTTTAATTCCATTGTAAATGGGTTAAAATATTTTTCGAATACCTAAGCATTCTAAATGTAAGTAACTTTCACTAATGTTTTGACTCAAGTCTGTATTATAGGGTTGTTCGGAAAGTCATTTCGTTTTTTCCCGACAGAGGATTTAATTGTATTCTTTTGCACCCAACTTCACAGTTAAGCCGTATAATTTTTATATGCTTTGAGAGCTCATATAGCAAGGCTTGTGTGTGAAAAATTCCAATTAATTCTACGCAGTAGTTTTTGGTTGGTGCCCTTTTAAATATGGAGAGCGATAAGCAGCATTTTCGACATATCTTACTGTTTTACTACAGAAAGGGTAAAAATGCTGTTCAAGCCAGAAAGAAATTGACTGATGTGTATGGAGAAGGTGTGTTGACAGTACGCCAGTGCCAGAACTGGTTCGCTAAATTTCGATCCGGCAATTTTGATGTCGAAGATGCACCACGTTCGGGAAGGCCGGTTGAAGCTGATAAAGACGCGATAAAGGCATTAGTTGATGTGAACCGGCGAATAACAACACGTGAGATCGGATTGAGGTTAAATTTATCAAATTCAACAGTTTATGACCACTTGAAAGGCCTGGGATTATCCTCGAAGCTCGATGTATGGGTTCCCCATGTTCTCACAGAGAGAAATCTGTGTCGCCGCATTGACGTCTGCGATTCGCTTCTCAAACGTCACGAAAATGATCCGTTTTTGAAGCGCATCATCACTGGGGACGAAAAATGGGTTGTATACAACAACGTCAAACGCAAGAGGTCATGGAGCAAAAAAGATGAACCGGCTCAAACCATTTCCAAAGCCGATATTCACCAAAAAAAGGTGATGCTGTCTGTTTGGTGGGATTTTAAAGGAATCGTTTTTTTTGAGCTTTTACCGGATAACACAACGATTAATTCGGAAGTCTACTGTCATCAGCTGGACAAACTGAATGATGCACTTCAACAGAAAAGGTCAGAACT